GTAATGACGCGCCGTCCTGCTTCCTGATTGGCCGGGAGGCCGGCTCCACGCTCCCTCGTCAAGAGATGACGCGGAGGCATGAAACCGCCTTCACGGCCAATCGGAATGCCGGGCGCTGCGTCATTACACGCTGACCGGCTTCCTGATTGGCCCGGGAAGTCAGCTCCATGCTCTCGTGTGATGACGCGCTGCCCGGCTTCCTGATACAGGAAGTATCGGGCTAGGCATTGGAGCTAACAAGCCCCCTGTGTGATAGCAATTGGAGGTGAAGGGGGGCCCCATACAGAATTTTGCTACGGGGCCCTGCGATTTCTAGTTACACCCCTGAATGTAACATTCCAGAAGTGACGGACCCCCTTGTAATCTCCGTGCCGGTCTTGTATCTCCAGGCCTTCAGATACGTCACAGAGGTGAAGAGACACCCGGCGGAACTTCCTGCGGACACCTGAAGGTCCCGGATATAATCATCACCCCGCCCACCCCGACGGGCACCATTAATTCCAGAACGGGGTCTCAGCAGGAGCGCCCCGCCATCCCCAAGATGAACTGCTGCTGACCCAAGAGGACTGAACAGCTACCAGTCATTAGAAGTCAGACTTTGGGTCCGATGTACGAGTACAATGTACGACGCGACGCTTCAGGCTGCCAGATCTGTTATCAGGAACTGATCGGTTGCTATGGGCAACAGGAACTTTTAGCACTTTTCCTACACGATGGACAAGTTTGGAAGAACACTAAGAAGTCCCGGCTGCCTTTTAGAAGTCACTGGAAAGAAAGAGGGAGAGTCTTCCAGGGAGAGAAGTCAGACACAAATCGGAGGGTAGTTCCCCTTTAAGTGATCTTTTTGCACTGAATTTGGATGTCACTTTATAGCAGAGTGGAAGGATGCCGGGGACCTCAAATGTGGCCAGATCCTGAGAAGATATGACGAATGTCAGCTACCATTTTCTTATCAGGGAAGCAGATTGTTGCATTATGCGGATCGGAGCCGCCCCCCTGCTGTGAGATCTGATGGTGCCAAAACAATTTCATCACAGCTACAAAGTTTCGTACCGGAATTGTGTAAGAACGATTATTCCGGATTCTTCCGAGCAGCGAGGCAAGGGATGACCCCATTGGCATTATCCACTGACCCGCCCTCCCCATGTGCTCCTTCCGAATATAAGGGCCGGGGGTCCAGAAACATCCGTTTCCAAATATACTGTTAGCATGTTAAAAGATCCATTTCTGGTTCAATTTTTAACTTTTGGAGTCATGGCCTCACATTCTCATCAAGCACAGCGCGATACCAGGCCATGAAGCAGCAAAGCAAACCCATAACCTATCCACCACCATGCTTCACAGTTGGTAGGAGGTCCTTCCCCTGAAATGCTGTCTTCGCTTTGTGCCTATGGGATCCGTGCTGTAATCTTGTTCTAACATTCTTTTTTTGGTCAGGTTTGTTCCCTGGCACACCTCCCGCGCAGGTTGTATCGGTGCAATCTCTGTGTAGATGCATGCACCATGACACCAGGGGAGGGGGGAGTTCATCCATTGTTACAGACAGGTCCTCTTTACACTAGACCGCAATGTTTCTTTTAACACGTTTGAGGATTTGTAGCGCCGGGGAGCTCATCGGTCATGTGCCGCGTGCGAAGATGGCGGACGTCTGGCGCCGTATATAATGATTACGGAAGAGATGAAGTGAATACATTGTGCCGAGTGACGGCGTTCGCAGGGAATTCAGAGAGGCGGCGTGGGGGGGGAGCGTGCGGCAGATGGGCGCTCGGATTTAATGATGAGAACAGCAGATGGCAAAAGACAACAGAAATGCTGGGTGTACGGCGGGTCATTTACAGGCGAGCTCGTCACGTCTCTGACTGCGCGCGTCCCGCCATGTTATGTGTGCGCGGCGGCGCCTACGGAAGGATTCTGCGAGGGCGGCCCGCTCACCAGTCGCAACTGTTGCGCTTGCGTTGTCTTTTTTCCCCCATTTCGGATTGCGATGTTGGAGAATCAGCCGGGATTCGTCTGAACCTGTACCGGAAAAAAACAAAGAGGCAAACTGCGCTATTTATATCCGGAGATGGCGGTTCCCGTGGGAGGGGCAACGCACAACAAGTACAAAATGCCAACCCGCCCAGAGCTTGGCGCTGCCAGCCAGCAACAGGGCCAATGGAACATTGATTGGAATATATTTAAAGTAACCTGGTCTGTATGCTTCAATTCCTGACGGGTCACAATTCCGGCCTCCTGTTAAAGTTTCATCTGTTTATATTTTGCCCTCCGTGGTGAGAAGGAAATGCTGAACGTGCATCTCATCCCCAGGGGCGTAACTAGAAATCACAGGGCCCCATAGCAAAATTTTGTATGGGGCCCATGTGATTGCTAGTTATACTCCTTGCAGAGCCCACCTGAGGGTGACCCTGCAGAGCCCACCACACTAGCATAGGAAGCCATAGCGACCCAGGCGGTCCGCTCGGCATCTGGCCGGGCCCCCCTGTGCCCCATAGCGGCCGCCTGGGTCGCTATGGCGATTGTTACGCCACTGCTCATCCCAATAATGGAATCTATCACAGCTTACCAGTCCTTAGATGTGGTGGCTGCATTCTTTTCCCTTTATTTCCCTAGGTGATCCCGCCAGTAACCAATTTTCTGTCCAATGGTGACAACGCACACTCACTGTACAATACCCTTGGAGGCGTTGTCACTCACACGCCAGGTGTACAGGACTTTGTCAGCTTCCTGGATTTCTGGCAGGATTCCACACCTATTTTATGCTCTTACAAAACAGAGAGCACAAAACACTTTTAGGGCCCGATCACACCGGAACGCCAGGCACAGCAATACCCTGCATCCCACTGCAGTGCGATCGCATAAAAAAAATGGTTCATGCATTATGCACTGGGACGCAGGGTATTACCACCGCACTAGAGTGCAGGTGAAATGAATGTAACCACCGGGCCCCCTCCTACCCCCAGAACGCAGGGAGCCTTTATGTGATCCAGTGCGTTGAAGGGGCCCAGAATTGTATATTCAGCCAACCAAAGGGGGCAAATAAGAGGAGTTCATTATTAGGCTTTACATTCACTTCAATGAAAGGCACATGAGGAAATAAATGCCCCCTAATGCCTCTCCGTGGTGGCCTTTGGCACCCCTCAGCTCCCCTGCGCCCCCCAGTATACAGCGGCTGCATCACATCCACATCCTTCCACTGAAGAAGTGGGCGGAGCTCAGCGGTGCAACTTTGTATCACCTGCGTGACACGGACCTCAGCGCAGCACCTGCATACCACGTGATATGGACCTCATAGCAGCAACTTTGTATCACCTGGATGTCACGTGACACGGAGCTCATAGCCACAACATTGTATCGCCTGGATGTCACGTGACACCACCCCTCCAGGCGCCTCGCTCACGGGTTTATGCGTTCCACGCCTCGCTTCGCCGCCTCCCCCCCTGGAACGCACACGGCATGTGATTGGCGGGAGAGGAAGAGCGCGGGAAAGCAGTGGGCGGGGCTCAGAGATGGACGCCTGTGAGGTGGAGTTCCTGGCGGAAAAAGAGATGGTCACCGTCATCCCCAACTTTAGCCTGGACAAGGTCTACCTCATCGGGGTGAGCATGCTGGGGGTTGTAGTACTTCACCGGCGGCCAGATAGTTACTTTAATTTCCTTTTTGAGGCTCTCCACCGGTCGGGGGGGG